GAGGCAGGAGGAGAGGATTTCAGTGGGGGAGGGCATTTCCGGGGTGATGAGGGGACCCTGCAGGCACAGACTCTCCAAGGCCGGCATTCCCTCCAGGACAGCCAGGCCAGGGGCAGAGAGGCCCCTCACGGTCAGCCGGATCTTGCGCACATCTCGGAGGTGGCGGCTGATAGCCAGCAGGGTGCTGTCAGCAGACAGGGTGCAGCCCAGCACCTCGAGCCTCTGCAGATAGCTGAGCTCCTGCAGGCCAGCATCCAGCCCTGTCTCGGTCACACGGTAGGTGCCACCCAGCACCAGCGAGCGCAAGGCCCGGAAGCGCGTCAGGCCCTGCAGGTGCTCGTCGCGGAAGGCGGGGACGCGGTCCAGCACGATGCATTCGAGCAGGGGCAGCACGGTGGGGTCCTGCTGCTTGTGGAGCCAAGCCATAGAGATCTCGCAGCTGTGCAGCTCCAGGGTCCTCAGGGTGCTGGGCAGGCTGGTGATGGGCACCATGCTCAGGTCGGCCACGTGTAGGCAGAGGCGCTTCAGGTTGGGGCATTTCTGGCCCAGGGCTCTCAACAGAGCAGGGGACAACTGGGGGGCCTGGGAGCCAGAGAACAAGTAGCCACCCATCCGCAGGGAATGGAGCCGGGATGCCATGTACCTTCGAAGGAGGTGCCACATGACTTTAGGTCGCATCTGTAAGAGCCAGGGATTGGGGTGACACAGTGAGAGGTAGGGAGTTTCCAAGGCCCCTGCTGGGCTGGAGACACACATCCCCAGGGTGGGGGATTCTGGTGCCCTGCTTCTGCCCTTCCCTAGCCAGTCTCCTCCCCAGGTTCAACCTCCCCAGGTTCAACAAGACGGTTTGAGTGCACCATCTTGCCTGCTAGGGCTTTGAACAAATCTTTTTTTTTTTTTTTTTTTGAGACAGGGTCTTGCTCTGTCACCCAGGCTAGAGTGCAGTGGTGAGATAATGGCTCACTGCAGCCTGGACTTCCTAGGCTCAAGTGATTCTCCCACTTCAGCTTCCCAAGTGGCTGGGACTTCTGACACATGCCCAGCTAATTTTTGTGATTTTTAGTAGAGACGAGGTCTTGCTACGTTGCCCAGGCCGGTCTCCAACTCCTGGATTCAAGCGATCCTCCCATCTCAGCCCCTCAAAGTGCCGGGTCTACAGTCATGAGCCACTGCACTCGGCCACTTAGAATAAATCTGGTGGGGGCCAGGCACACTGGCTCATGCCTGTAATCCAAGCACTTTGGGAGGCCGAGGTGGGTAGATCATTTGAGGTCAGGAGTTTAAGACCAGCCTGGCCAACATGGTGAAACCATGTCTCTACCAAAAATACAAAAATTAGCTGGACGTGGTGGCGAGTGCCTGTAATCCCAGCTACTCAGGAGGCTGAGGCAAGAGAATCGCTTGAACCCAGGAGACAGAGGTTGCAGTGAGCTGAGATCGCGCCACTGCAATCCAGCCTGTGTGATAGAATGAGACTCCGTCTCAAAAAAAAAGAAAAAAAAAAAAGGATAAATCTGCTGGGGGGAAAAAGATACTAACAGAATCTACCTTTAGCAATAGATTCTTACCATTTTTCTGGACTAAGAAAGAGAGCAAAACAACTCATTGACATTTTACCTGTTGCTTAATTATCACCTCCAGTAGAAATAAGCAACACAGAATAAAATTTTAAAAGGTGAAAACTACCCGGAGTAAATTAGGTCTATGTTAAAAAAACAAAACAACAAATGAAAAGGCTGGGCACGGTGGCTCACACCTCTAATCCCAGCACTTTGGGAGGTCAAGGTGGGTGGATTGCCTGAGCTCAGGAGTTCAAGACCAGCCTGGGCAACGCGGCGAAACCCTGTCTCTACTAAAAATTTTAAAAAGCCAGGCACGGTGGCTCACGCCTATAATCTCAGCACTTTGGAAGGCTGAGGCGGGTGGATCACTTGAGGTCAGGAGTTTGAGACCAGCCTGGCCAAAATGGTGAAATCCCGTTTCTACTAAAAATACAAAAATTAGCTGGACGTGGTGGTGGGCGCCTGTATTCCCAGCTACTTGGGAGGCTGAGGCAGGAGAATTGATTGAACCCAGGAGGCAGAGGTTGTAGTGAGCCAAGATTGCACCAGTGCACTCCAGCCTAGGTGACAAGAGTGAAACTCTGCCTCAAAACATAAACAAAAAACTAAAAATAAAAATAAAAATAATAGTTGGGCAAAGTGGCAGGGACCTGTAGTCCCAGTTACTTAGGAGGCGAAGGCATGAGAACCAGCTCTGGGAGGTGGAGGCTGCAGTGAACTGAGATCACACCACTGCACTCCTGCCTGGGCGACAGGGTGAGACTCTGTCTCAAAAAAAAAAAAAATATCACAGCCAGGAGTGGTGGCTCAAGCCTAGCACTTTGTGAGGCTGAGGTAGGCGGATCACCCAAGGTCAGGAGTTCAAGACCAGCCTCACCAACATGGAGAAATCCCGTCTCTACTAAAAATACAAAATTAGCCAGGTGTGGTAGTGCATGCCTGTAATCCCAGCTACTTGGGAGGCTGAGGCAGGAGAATCTCTTGAACCTGGGAGGCAGAGGTTGCGATGAGCCGAGATTGTGCCATTGTATCAGCCTGGGCAACAAAAGCGAAACTCCGTCTCAAAAAAATCACAGCCTGGTACAGTGGAAGCTGTAAAAATCAACCCTGGGAAGTTAGACTTAGTAGAAAATAAAAAGCATACATAATTGATAGCACTGGGCATTTCATTATAAGTACATGTTATCTTAAAAAGAAAAAAATAGCATGCTTACATCTGCCTTTTATTGCTGGATTTCTCTACTTGACATCATAGGGCCTAATGGAAAAAGGAAAATTGTCTAATAACATATTCTTCATGTGTGCTTACAAAGGTGTTTCTTTTCTTTTCTTTTTTTTTGAGACGGAGTTTTGCTCTTGTTGCCCAGGCTGGAATGCAGTGGCACGATCTCGGTCACCACAACCTCCGCCTCCCGGGTTCAAGCGATTCTCTGGCCTCAGCCTCCCGAGTAGCTGGGATTACAGGCATGTGCCACCATGCCTGGTTAATTTTGTATTTTTGGTTTTTTTTTTGAGACGGAGTCTCTCTCTGTTGCCCAGGCTGGAGTGCAGTGGTGTGATCTCAGCTAACTCCAACCTCTGCCTCCCAGATTCAAGCAATTCTCCTGCCTCAGCTTCCCGAGTAGCTGATACTACAGGCATGTGCCACCACACCCGGCTGTGCTTTCTTTTGTATTTTTAGTAGAGATGGGGTTTCACTATGTTAGCCAGGATGGTCTTGATCTCCTGACCTCGTGATTCGACCACCATGGCCTCCCAAAGTGCTGGGATTACGGGCATGAGCCACCATGCCTGGCTTTAATTTTGTATTTTTAGTAGAGATGGGATTTCTCTCTGTAGGTCAGGCTGGTCTCAAACACCCGATCTCAAGTGATCTGCTCGCCTCAGCCTCCCAAAGCACTGGGATTACAGGAGTGAGCCACCGCGCCCGGCCAAAAAGGTGTTTCTACATCAAGCTCTTCCATTCACTGAAAGAAAATAGCTTATTATCAATCCTTAAGAAAGCATGCTTGCATTTGCCTTTTATACATGCATATGTAAACCCATGTAATATAAACTGTATTAGTCTATTTTCATGCTGCTGATAAAAACATACCTGAAACTGGTAAGAAAAAGAGGTTTAGTGGGACTTACAGTTCCACACGGCTGGGCAGGCCTCAAAATCACGGTGGGAGGCGAAAGGCACTTCTTACGTAGCGGTGGCAAGAGAAAATGAGAAAGAAGGCCAGGTGCGGTGGCTCATGCCTGTAATCCCAGCACTTTGGAAGGCCGATGTGGGCAGATCACGAGGTCAGGAGATTGGGACCATCCTGGCCAACATGACGAAACCCCGTCTCTACTAAAATACAAAAAAAAATTAGCCAAGTGTGGTGGCACACGCCTGTAGTCCCAGCTACTTGAGAGGCTGAGGCAGGATAATTGCTTGAACACGGGAGGCAGAGGTTCCAGTGAGCCGAGATTGCACCACTGCACTCCAGCCTGGTGACAGAGCAAGACTCTGTCTCAAAGAAAAATAAATAAATAATTTAAAAAATACAAAAAATTAGCTTGGTGTGGTGGCACGCACCTGTAGT